TACACCACAGTAGGGTACAACGGGGCTAAAGGCGCCCCGGGGATATTATTTTCATCTAAACCACTAGATGGCACAAAAACGTGGCATAGCACTTTCCAAAACATCCGCTTTTCAAGATGCACGTGTATTTTTGTCTGATCGCGAGCGCAGCAGTGCAAAGTTGATTATGTGCTTACTTGATCTAATATTTTATGTTTTTTAAAATGTTGTAGATTTAAGTAGCAAATGAGAATCGCTAAAATGAATGCATATATTGTGAGACAAAGGTCTTCTTTATGATTTTCAGTTTTGTTTAAGATAATTAAAGAAACAGTTTTTAAATAACGAAAGAATATGTAAAAGTAAGGTATTTGGGGTAAAAAGCGCCCCTGCTGTTGGGGCTAAATCAGTAATTAACATGATAATTAATAGATGGCTGACTTTTTCATTTGTTGACATGGTGGTTAGATTCAGATGTTAAATATCATATATTACGTTGGGTGTCCATACTAGAGATAATCACCATGTTTAGAATGAAACCATCATATTTAAAAACATGATATTAATCATATCATATAATAAAATATCATTTGTTGTTACTACTGTAAATATATATTCAATTATTGTTGGATCTCCTTCACTACTTTCAGAATCTTTGCTTATTAAAACTATTTTGTTTCTGTATTTTAAAATACATTTTTATATTACCATATTTTAATGACAATATATTTATCGAACAAAAATGGATTCTTTTATTTTTCAAAATAAGCAGAATATAGTACAAACTTTGCTCAAGTTATTGTTTTTAACAAGTATTAACTTAGACATTATTAAAAAAAACATTATTTTAGCTGAAGTATTTGTATCAATACCGTGTGCCTTTTACCCCGTGTGTGGGGTAATAAGATTATTATAAGATTTTTAAACAAAATGAACAACTTGAATGATTTATTTTCACACAAAATATGTTGCTCCATTATTGTTCAATACAAGGTATATTTTTTTTTTTTTGCAATTATACATTTTAGGCGCAGTGAATAGCATATTTTTTCTTAAGGCGGGCCTTGGTACCCTATTACTTGTTTGTGTTTGAGTACACTGTACACTGTAGTACACTGTAACGGTAGCCACGTTGTACCCTATTAATTTGCATATTAAGCCACTTGAAAATGTATACCTACCTCAGCTATTTCCACAGTGGAATCCTTGAAATTCAAAGCGTTCATGGAACAGTAGTACATAGTTTAAGGTTGGGGGGGGGGGGAATTCCAGTCATTTTTCCCATTCCGCCTAAACCC